GAAACTGGTATCCTTTAAAAACAATGTATGCAATTTTCAGTAGTAAAACCCAGGTCAAGGGTAGGCGATAATGATAGCAAAATTATTTGAAATACTCATATAAGTGTCAGTACTGTAAGTTGGTTGTTCATTGGGGACTTCAGATCAGTTACTCTTCTACTGTTCATTTCTGGCATCAGAATATGACACAGTGGAATTCTGTATCTGAACACGGCGCTTCGGCACCTTCTGCAGATTCATTCATAGTAAGAGTGGGGCCCCGCCGTAAAGGAAATGAGAAAAATTATAGGAAACTTAACGGTCATTATATACTATAGTGGGTGTACCCATTATAATGTATCTAGATCGCATCTATGGGCCCAACGGGTGAGCAGGTTGTGCGTTTAAGAAATTTATGACTGGCAACCAGCTGGATCGAATACAGGGAAATCCAAAGGTGCATCTTCACCATTAAAAAGTGATGGTCGAAAAATTATTAGATTTTATAAGCTCGCGTCTTACTCTCCTGACAACTCCAACTCCTACACCCACACCTATTATTACTAATGATATAATATACGTATATATGTGCGTCGGTGGCACAGCGGTCAGGACGCTCGCCGACCATGCACATGGTCCGGGGTTCGATCCTCGGCCGACGCACTCCTTTACCTCGCTAAGCCGGTAATAAAGCTGGTAAAGAGGTAAGGTTGGGCATGGGGCTAGCAACCCCATCCTGTAAAATAAGCACTGCTACAGAAACTTCAAGCCTCAAGCTTGAAGCCCTATGTTCCACTGGGAACGTGAAGGAATCAAAAAGTACGTATATATACTTGTATATGTACATACATATGCCAACTTCAAGTTTAGTCATAGTGATTGATATCATGGCTGTTGGAAGTAGCCTTAGAAAAAGCAATAAAACACCATATTCTGTAGTCATAAGGGCTTCAGCCAGAGCGGGCAATAACCCAGGGACATCAACTACTTCCCAGATACCGATCCTAAAGACTCGTGCAGGTCTTGCCTGTTCTGATAATAAGCCTGCATTGCCACAGTCTAGCACTGAAACGTTACAGGCAATATCAGGTGGACGGGATACTGCACCTGCATCTACTGAAAGCCAGTGCGTGAAACAGCGAAAAAGGAAACGCTCAAGACGTCATAAGACCTTGAAAGCGTCATCAAGGAAGGGAGGTGAATGTCACGCTTGTAGTGTCATCGTTTCTAAAACTGGCCCAGCATTTTAATGCAATTTTTGTAAACGATGGGTACACCGCCGTTGTGAAAAAGGGGTGCCGAAATTATATTATGAATTTATGCGAAATAGCCCATACCCATGGTTTTGGTATATCTGCCCACTTTGTCGCCCTGGCATGGTCCCACACAGCGTGTCTGCGGATAGCAGAAACAGTACGCCACTCTTGTGTCTCAACACAGTCTCATGCAGCTCCCCACCTGCTGACAACACACTACCAAAACTTGGTAAAGACAGTAAGAAGGACACTCCAGTCCAACTGACTCGAAATGCCAATCTTCACAAAGTGAAGAGTCCCAAGGCTGCACCCACAGCATCAGGCAAAGATAGAATTGCCAAAGCACCACTTGCATCCACTAGCAGGCTTGGCAACACAGCAAAGACTGGCCGAAACCTGACGAAGCCTAAAGTTGCTGACGCTGCAGAGGAATACAAGCAGCCAAAGGCGAAATCTAAGTCTGAGGTCAGTCTGTCTAGTTCTCTTATCCTTTTAATGTACCTGTGAGCAAGGATAGCTTGCTTGAACAACGGTCCCTGTTTGATCAGGAACAGTGGTCCAACTTGTGCAATAAATTAGATCTGAACATTAGTTCAGCGAAATTGTGCAGGCTGCACAGGGGTGTCCACACGCCTCATGGTAAGCCACTCCCATTAAGAGTTACACTGGACTCTACCGAAGAGGCCGAAAGAATACTATCAATGGCTCAGGTACTAGCCATCGACAGAAGTTCTAGCATAAGGGTGAGACATGACAGACTATGGTCTAACAGACAAATGGCGAGGGAGTCACCGGAACTGATGCCTTCTATCCGTATGGTCGTACACGGTGTTCCGGAGCCGGAAACAGGCACTGCTTGTGATTTCAATGCCCCATCAATGAACCTTGGCTCGGGGTATGCTAAGGGAAAATTCGGTTGAAATCTACTGCAAACTATTGGAAATACAGGACTGACTGAGAATATTGGAGACGACACTAGGTGGGGCCCTAGTAGAAAGTCATAGAAACTGGACAACATTCTAACTAGTGACCAACTACTCGTCGAAAAGGTCCAGATCATGGCTCCTATAGGAAGTAGTGACCATGTAGCCATAGGTTTCGATCTTTTTTCCGTGAGCACTTGCAGTGGGACGTTATGCGACCATGTCTGTGTTACAGCGAGGCGGGCTATGTTGAAATGCGGAGGCTTTTGTCCGATGCAGACTGGCCCTTAGCATGGGATGAGCTATTTGTAGATCACTAGTCTAGAGATGACGGAAACATTCAGCTTAGCCTTCGCCAAACAGTTTAACAGCAATGTGGGCATTACCATTACGGACCGAAATGGTGGCACTTCTATTTCACAGGAGGAAGACCTAGTGGCTACTCCCCAAATAAACCCGGCACTATTATGGATATTACTATGTAACACTGTGTGACTTTTCAAAATAAAATCTTATCCATAATGGAGTTATACTCTCCCACAGAGCACAAGTTTTATACTGATATCAATAAACCAGGCACTAGTACTAGGGAAGCTACAGCGAATCACACCTGCGAAGTCCTTAGGTTGTGACGACATCAGGCCATCTGTTCTGAAACAGTGCGCCGAAGCTCTCTGTAGGCCCTTATGCGACTTGTTCCAACACTCAATGAAATCGGGAAAACTGCCAAGGGAGTGGAAAAGAGCCATCTTTTTTCCCATCTTCAAGGGTGGGGATAGGCAAAATGCCGCTAGTTATGGGCCAGTAGCTCTACTCTCAGTGGTATCAAAAGTACTGGAAAGTATTATTGACGACCACATCAGAGGTTACCTCGATAGGTCTAATATACGCCATGAAGGCCAACACGGTTTCAGGAAAGGCAGATCCTGTGTAACAAGCCTACTATCAGCTTGTGCGTCGGTGGCACAGTGGTTAGGACTCTCGCCGACCATGCACATGGTCCGGGGTTCGATCCCCTGCCGGCGCACACCCGATATCTATGGTATGCCTGAATTTGGGCAACCGATATCCATGCTGAAAATTCCATACTTGTACTGAAAATACGGTGTGGAATCAAGCTGTAAATCAAATAATAATAATAAACATCATGCTGGGATATGAATGTTCCAGTCAATGTGGTCTTCCTAGACTTTGAGAAGGCATTTGACACAGTTCGCCATGACCTTCTCCTTACAAGATAAATCAGGCAGGTATAGGTAAGCTACTTCTGTCATGGTTAAAGGACTACCTAGCTGAAAGGCAATTTTGCACTAAGGTCAATCAAGTCCGGTCATCTTGGCACGGCTCGTCATCAGGAGTGTCGCAGGGTTCTATCCTAGGACCACTGACGTTTTTGATTATTATCACTGATCTACCATGCCGTCTAAGCTGTCCGACTCTTCTATACGCTGACGACGTAAAGATATGGAGGGTGATAAAGTGTCCGGAGGACTCAGATAGACTGCAGGCAGGTCTATAGCTTCTGGAAGACTGGGCGGTGGCCAGTGGCAAGACTTTCAACCTGAAAAGGTGTAAAGTAGTGAAATTACGCACCGGTAGACTGCAAAATGCAAGTTACACCCTGTGCAATGAAACCTTGCCCTGCACAACGTCGGAACGCGACTTAGGCCTAGTTCTAACGGAAAAAATGTACACAAGCGTAAATTACATGGGGGACGTAGCGAGGGCATATGCGGTCATACACTTTACACATAGACAGTTAGGTGCACTCACTCCTGAGCTGCTTCTAAGGTTGTGCAAAACCTACGTCAGACCACACCTTGAAGTGCATAATCTTATTGCACCCCCACTGCTTAGAAGAGACGCCAACCTCTTGGAAAGAGTCCAAAGATGGGCAACAAAAGGAGTGGTTGGTCTCCGAAATAAACCATATGATGAAAGGCTGAAGAAATTAGGCCTATTCACACTTAGTTACCGTCGTCTTAGGGGGGATTTAATTACTGCCTACAAAATAACAAATGACCAGAATCACCCAAAAAAGGTGTTCTGCTTTTGAGTAGGTATAGGCTTCCTCGTGGAAATTCCAGAATGATAGCTCACCAGATGGCAAGGATCCGGGTGCGCTCCCACTTCTTTTCACTGCGGTTTTGCCGTCCCTGGAATTCCTTACTGGCAGATGTAGCTATGGCATCGTCTGTGGATGCCTTTAAGCGAAGGCTGGACAATCATGCAGCGACACAAGGACTGCGTCCAAATGGCCTATCCCCTTAAAATCCCATACACCATTCGGAGTCGACAACTAAGTTCGTCTTTTTACTTCTTTACATTCTCTCCCGTCTTACTCTCCTGACAACTCTAACAACACTTATTATTATTACCGATATATATATATATATCAACTTTAATTTAGTCAGCTGACTGTTGTTACGTTTTCTTTATTTCTTTTCCTGTCTGTTAGTCTGAATAACTTCACTAATTATATCTATATTATTATTATCTGTTTTCTTTTGATGACTATACCGGAGGACTAACTGGTAAAAGAACCAACTCCATTCACAGTAGTGACAGTCTTAATATACCTGATACTACAAACCACATATAATTAATGCCGGCACTACTCCTTTTGGAGTCAACCAAAGCTACGACAGTCGAGTGGCGGGACGAGCTACGCAGAAGTTTACCGAAGATCAGGAGCCTATACCTCACAATCAAGAGGCGAGCACAAAGAAATCAAATTGTTTTATACTAGCTCGTAAAAACGATTTTGGATACGCATATTGAATATTGAATGGTGGGTGTTTCGCTTCTTGAAGGTTGCTTGTTTACCTAACGGCTATTAGCAATGTACAATGCTCTTCGAAATGCTGCTTTAAGGCATTTTAGCCCCCGATTTGTGTGTTGTCAAAGGAATACTAGTATCAAGAACAGTTGCTCAAACGTTGGCTTGTCCTTTAAAAGTTCATCCTCACAACCTAGTAAGCAAATGCCTTTTGGTTTACGTGATCCAATGTGTATTAGGGTTTTCATGTCCTTTTAGAAATGCTAGTGAGCAGAAAAAAATGCCGAGGGAGGCATCAGATTACATGTTTCGCAGGTTTTATGACGAAGTGGTAGGCAGATTCCGTGATAATTTACCATTTTAGCATTTCTACTTGATGTTGGGCCTTATCCCTACACTTCTCCTTGTCTTTTTTGTTAATGTATTTATTGGGCCGGCTGAGTTAACGGATATACCGGACGGTTATGAGCCTCATTATTGGGAATATCACAAAGTGGGCTTCAGGTTTCGTGTTTGCTTATTTTCAGCATCCAATATCTCGTTTCATCGCCAAGTATATAACTGTTAACCCTCAAAAAGCCTATGAGGCAACTATGGGACAATTGGATGATTATCGCGTTGGAAAAGAAATAGTGTGAGTTGACGTGCATCGTTTATCTTTGTAGTTTATGAATATCGCTTAAGAGTATGTTTAGAAATGTATCTGTTTTGGTCACTGGAAATCTTCATCATAAAATTCCAGAGCTCACAGTAGTGTCTGTAAAATGCTGGCCTGTTCAAGTAAAATTTAAAGGTATTTTCACGTAATTACGGAAACCTCACAGACAGTAGTTTAAGTTACGAATAGTAACATAAACGTTTGAAATTTACTTTCATCTATGTAGTTATTGTAGATACTCTGATACGTTTCTCGTCACTATTGGATATCATATGTGTAACACTGCTATACGTACGATGGGTCTAAGTGACTTTTAATTTTGAACATGTCGTACATCAGTCTCTCATGCTTCTCTCTGGGCAGTGTGCCGGCGCTTGCACAAACTAGGATTTTGTGTAGCATATTTCTTGATATCCGTAATGTGCCAATTTGGTGCTTTAATAGCGTAGTGAGTAGTACATTGGTCACTTGGATTTGTCCAATATCGTCCCTCGTGCTGGTGTTTGCCTAATTCTGTCGGTCAAGCTTGCAATATGGACGCAGAGCTAGGTGATTCACCGTCTTGTGTAATTTTAATTGGTGTCAGTTGTCTAGAATCGCCGAAAAGCCCTAACAGGAAGTCTCGTGCTCACCGAGCTATTCACCTTCGTTGGTAATGTCTATGGCTGCAGCACTGGGTGATGCGAGTTTGAGCCCTTTGTAGGACAAAAGTTATAGGTTGCATATATTTTTTGCTGATGGCATCTGTATACCAGATAATAACTATGGTTACTGTCCAAATTTTCTCTAATGAAGGTATACAGGCTTGTTTTTAACTCTTGATACTTCTGAATGATTAACCCTTTAATTGGAAACAAACTTGATTCAGCATTAGAATTGAGTTTGTCTCTGGGCAACTACGTAATGTATAAGTAATGGTTAAGTAGCAATCACGCTAAGTATGTCTAGCACCTACTGTGTGGATGTAGACATCTGTTCTTCAGCTGTTACTGAGGCTTCAAAAGCTGTCTCTAGTTGGAGACGAGGTTAAACAGCGAAATCTGATAGCTTGACTACGAAAGTTTTTTAAAGATGGTCGTCATGAACTAATGTTAGGATTAAGATATTAGACAATATGTGTGTATCCAAGTTAGTCCTGTTGGACTGATGTATATCACTGGTTATCTAGTGGTAAGTGCCATAATTTAGTGAGTAAAATTAAGGTTGGGCGTACAATGTAAATGAGGAGGACAGGTCAATCGGCGAGGTTGTGAAGTTAAAAGATATGTGTTACCCATTCCAAGTTACCGACTTCTTCGTCCAGCAATGTTAGCTGAGATAGGATTAGGTTGAGAAAGGTTTAGACGTGGGCAAGTCAGAACTTGGCGTCAGTCCATGAAGTTTTTGACCGTTCCTTTCAGCCACTTCAGGAGGTGTAGACTACTACCTTACTGGTGTTATCGAGACGCTAAGAAACAACGGCATGAACTTGTTGGTGGTATGGCTCGAAATTGATCTCAATGGTGCAAACGCATTCAACCTCTGTAGTTTTCCAGATCCACTAAAACCTGGTGTTTTTTGTAATTATTCTTTCTCCTGTTCATTAAAGTTCATTTAAATTCTGTCTTTCTTTTACCTTTGTGTACTATATGGAGTATGACACGAACTGCTACGCTCCTGTGCAGTGTTCTGCATTGCAAACTCAGTCACATTTAAAAATAGAACATGGGCATTGTGATCGAGTATAATTTCATCATAAAGTAAATTTAATTGACAGTAGCACACAGTAATACAGTATTAATTACTGGTATGTATTTGCGTAATATACCGCTTTTTATTTTTATCCTTTGGATATCTTTTTTTCTGTCTCCAACGCTATATTAGTTTACACAGCATTTTTTGGTACATTTTCTGTTAAGTTTGTGTTATAAGCAACAAACATTCAGAAGATGGATTTAAATTCATTGCTGGTCGAATAGAAAAGGGCTTGTATAGGTGAGAGAAATTTTCGTGTAGACTCATTTTTATTTTCGATGTTCTTGTTTTGATTTGAAATATAAGGTTTAACCTATTATGGGTGTATCATTTGTGTATACTTGTTTATTTTCATAGTGAAGAGGAAAGATGGTTTCGAAAAGCACAACATGAACATGATGACTATCGGGGTTGGTTTTTCATTCCAGTTAATCCAGTCGGTGTTAATCGCTCATTTGAAAAACTGCAGGAAGATCAGGAAGCTGGCTCATTTGCCGCTCGTTAACCAGGAAAAATTTTATATATTTTTCGCAAAATATTTGCATTCTAGAAACCTGTAGTTCTAAGCGTATTAAATCTATGACACTATCATCTTTTCATAAATCTTTCTGTCTACCGATTTTGCTGGTTGTTTTCTATAATCATGTTGCGTAAATATTCAAATTATTGCCATCACTCCACTGAAATACTGCCTAATAATCTCCAGAGGGGAAGGTTTATTACTTGGCAAGTATGTGGATAATAGGATAGCTCCATGAAATACTGTGTTTATGTGGATCGAATAAGTCTAATATTAAGAAAAAACACGTAGTTCAGCGAAGAGTCTCTTTTTGGCGAATTCATCCACTTAACTGTACAATCGCAATTATATATGTATGTCAGGTAGGAATAAAAATTAGTTACGGTTATTATTTACGTCATCAAAATATTTCAAAAAATAGGATGAATGGTCAAATTGTAACTAGGGTGGTTGAAGGTTAATAACAGGGTAGTGGTGATTAGTTGTCAAAAAAACAGTCGGTAGTGTTAGGCAGTGCATAAAGAAGTTGAATAAGTGTATTGTAGTCACGTAATAAGGTGAGTAATTTGATGAGTGAGTTGTGATTAGGATGCATTTAGAAACGAAGGAAATTATGTAAGAGTTCTAAAGAAATGCAAGAGTTATTCGAAGTCAGGAAAGCAAGCACACAAACATCAAGTCAGTAGAAATCAACACGGTTGTTGCCATGATAGAAGTGGTTGAATGATTTTCTTTTGTATGCATGACTGGTTTTTCCGACTGAATCACTAAAACTTCAGCAATACGAAGGAGATAAAGGTGTATTGCCTTTTGTGGGTTATTCTTTACTTCATAGATTACTTTAAAGGAGGCGTTTGTTGAGATCGAATGACCAGTGTTAAAAAGGTGTCCAATGATCGCAGTCCTTAAAGAGCCACTACTATCTATTTGTAGTCATGCGGGATAATGTTCTTGAACCCTTTTGAACAGGATGCGCATCGAACGACCAACTTATCTGGCTCCACAGCAACAGGTGGAATGATATACGCACATAGAATTGGTCAGATGCGAGATATTGTCCTTGAGGCGTCTGCAGACACCAACCGACGACTCAGGAACACTACTCAGCGTTGCTGCCGAGAATGTTCATCCCAAAGATGCTGAAATTCTTCCCAAGGATATTGCGGGTTAAGTCTAACTTGAAATCCAGGTTCGTGTAGAGTTTCTTTTTTGGAACAAGTTATTCTTCGTTCCTCTGGACTTTTTGTCTGATGTTGTCGATAACTCTTGGTGGGTGTTCGTTTTGGATGAAGGTTCCTTTCGGAAGACCTAGTTCTGCTACCAGGCATCAGGGCTGCAGATGCGTCCGCTTGGAGTGGCAAGGAATTTAAGTAGATTTTGTTTTCGTTCAATGGGCATCCAACTGTAGAAACCCTTTAGTTGACCGTTCCAATTGGGTTTTCTATGGACTGACCTTCTTAAAGTTCCGATGGGTCGTCGTGTTAGTTCCACTTCAAGAAAGGAGATTTGGATTCGTTTCCCATTTTTAGAGTGAATTTTATTGCTGGATGGTAGTTGTCAAATATTTGTAGCAACTGATCATAGCTATTGTCGCAAATGGTGAAAATGTCGTCTACGTACCGTCTGTACATCTGTAAATTGTCAATGGACGACTTTGATGGACTATTCTCAATGCTAGTCGTGAAACAGTGCCAGTAATGGACCCATTGCAATACGGTCCTTTTGCTGTAGATGGTGTCATTGAAAGGGAAAGTTCTAGATGGCAGTGCACAACTATCTGTTTCATGTGTTTTCTTGTAGACTTGATAGCTTGACTCAAAGCCTAGTACATTACTTCTTACGCAACTGAGTTATTTAAATATTGACCTCGCTCTCTATTCTGTTGACTGCTACTTCAGTTACTCGATATGTAAAATCGACCATCATGCTTTGAAGACCTTAGCACTAGTGTGAAATGCTCAGCTAACTTTCAGCAACGTGTGGTTTTGTTATCACGTAAGAAACATGTAAGCTTGGTGTAAGGTCTTACATAAAGGAGACTAGCCATTTTTTGGTGCTGTACATCAACGTTTGAAGTGGGTGGGGCCAAGAAACATGGATGGGTTCGTAAAGTAGAATTTTTGGGAGAAGGGGACAGTTAACAGCTTTTAATCAACCGAAAGGGATGATTGGAAAATACATTTGTTAGGATGGGGCAGGATTTGTAAAGGCGGTATGAATGAATCCACATTATATGAATCACGATGTAATTTCTTTAGATTTCACTGGGAATTGACTAGAGTACTTTCAACATAGGATTGAGAATTACTACTCTATGGACCAAGTCGCGACATCCCACATCTTAAAATCATTTACAGGCTAATATGAAGACCTGCAACTCTGTAAGAAAAGAAATGGATTTCATGTTGCCAATTAAAACAAGGACAGCATATAAATGTGATTATGAGACTTCAGTTGCATTACCCAAAATCCCCAACTATTGACTTGGTTCTCACAGTAAGACAACCTACATTTACATGTTAAACATAAAAGTCAGCGAGATGATCGTGAAGAAATGAAGCGACTAGATATGAGCCAATCACTTCAGTCATATATTTATCCCTGATGGTTAGTAAACGTGAAATACATCACTCAGAAGGTAATGTTGGAAGAATATACCTCAAACCTAGGAATGACTTCTAGAAAAATAGAGTAATTATTGAATGAGAGACCATTTACAGTTACAACATGTTTAAAATCTATTTTTTGTGAGGTAGTTTGATTCATCACCCATTCAAGACTAAGGCTGTGGCTTGTCAGTCTAAGCCATTGACAGTCACTCACTTATTAGCTGTAGATCATAAGGTCGCTTCATTTTTGGGGATTGAGTAGCATCGGAGTATTTTTCACCCTCATAGCCATCAGAAAATTCACCTGATCAGTTTGGAATTTATTCTTAGCAATGGTCCACTCAGATGGGAATAGCACCAATTTGTAAATAAAAAATATTAAGCAATACACAGCGATCATGTCTTTACTTCCGACACTTTGTGCATAGGTGACTAGTAATTTTGGAATAACTAAGGGAAGATTTATGAGGTATCAGTTTGGTAACAAGATTTTCTTGCAAAATGGAAATAAGAAAAGCAGAAATAGTGTATATCTTACGACAGATTATTGTAGCGTATTATAACGGTTAAGTGATGAATATGACTTATGAATTGCTTCCAACGTTTAAGCTTATGTGATTCTAAAGGTATACCGGTAGTACTGCTTTCAATCGAAATTAGGTTGAAATCAAGTGCAAAACTATTTTTATTTAAGAACAATAAGTAACTGGATTTAACGCTTGAAACCCCAATGTGACCGATCCAATACACAATGTTCGACTGGCAGGCCATATATATATATATAATTGAGTAGTTTTTCACTCAGTTACTTATAAGACCATTATATACATGCAATAGTATCATTAGCTTAAAAACACCAGAAGCAGACTAATTAGTGGTAATCAATGTTTTTAGGTTATGCATAATTTCCTTGCAACTTAGCTCCAGATAGCTCTGAATACAATTTCTTCAATACTACGGTGTATTCTCATACGTCTAACTTTGAATTTATTATTTGCTCTATCAATGGTTCATAAATGTGAAATAATGAGTTTTTCTCACTTGAAAACTTAAATACTGCAAGAATAACAGAGGTAGAATCTATTCAACATGAATTTATTTTTAATATTCGGTCGACTGTATGCAGCTTGAATCGAAGCATACTGACACATAACGAGTTTCCTGTCCAACACTCCGGTTGTAAGCGTCAGGTCTTTACATTCTCCCTTTTACTTTTGTGAGGACAACTCCGGTACATGAAAGTAACTATGTTTGACCATCGCATGTGTATTAATGTGCAACTAAAATATCGGCTGCTGTCTTGTCCGGAAGCTGTGCAAAAACACGTGGGGAATTGATTCGGGAAGAGCAGGCTGGCTTTAATCCAGGCCATGGGTGTATTTACCGTGTGCTCACTCTTCATCAGTTTCTAGAGCACCATCACTCGTTTTGCAGGCCAACACTTATCGTTTTTATTGACATTAGGACTGCCCTTGATTCGTTGGACAGAACTTCTCTCTGGAACTGTTTTTTTAGAGGGAGGTATTCCTTGGACCGACCGATAGCTGCCACCTTGAAGTGGTGATCCGGCTTGCATAACGCAATGAACCGATGAGCTACACTGGCTGGAACTAATGTTGTTAAATGTCCTACAGTGCCATGAAGGTTGTTTGGATGACAAATAGATTAAAGGCTGTTGCTGTCATAGTGTAGATTTTACACTATGTTGAGGGTTTGTGGGCGAAGTTGCACCTCTGGAGAACAGGGATATTACGAGTATATCAGGTATGCTGCCTCTCTGCCTTGAAGAGAAGGGGAGTTAGAAAATCGTACATCCAGACTTAACTTATGGTGGTCCATAGCCAGTGGTAAGATATTATTACAGACACAATTCTAAAAATCAATTCAGATACGCAGTGTGTAACCGGCCTCAAGCAGTTGTCCTCTGGGATCTGCTGTCACGCAATACTAATGCCCTTTCTGTTACAGGTACCCCAAGAAAAAATCAACTCCCACGATGTGGGTAGCTGGGAAGTAACAACCGTCCACACACTTACGAAGGCACACAAAGCTCTCCTGATTCATAACCCACCTTTTTCTACGTCGCCTCCAGTATCTTAACTTCCCCCTTCTGTTAAAACTAATCCACAGACAGGCCCCTCATCTTCTCTCAACTCTATGACCACTAAAAATGAAAAGAGTCAGAAAACTACTACTGATAGTCCCTCCAAACCGCGCTGATAACTTAACGTTAGGACCCTTGACTAGATCGGACAACAGACATCACTAGCCAGAACTCTGGCCATGTTTGCATGTTGTATTTCAGAGGCACGCACACAAAACCCGAGTGTGGTTTTCCCCTTAACCCCAGTTGGCCAACGGGGTGAATCTGCAAAA